CGTGGTATCATTTCTTTAAAAAATATATCTATAGAAGCAAAAAAATCATGATGATAATGATGATGATGACAATAATAATAATAACAATAACAATAACAATGATAGTAATAATAATAATAATGATAATAATAGTAATAGTAATAACAATAATAATAATAATAATAATAATAATGATAATAATAATAATGATAATAATAATAATAATAGTAATAATAATAATAATAATAATAATAATAATAATAATAATAATAACGATTATAATAATAGTAATAATAATATAAAAAAAACAACAACAGCAATGATAATAACAATAAACCTTAAATATTACAAAGAAAAACGACGAAAGATTTGCCATTAAAATCCGTAACTCACGAAAGTTAACCTACCGCAAACTCTTTACAGTTAGGTACAGCATTTTCTCGCGTAAACTGGATAATTACACATTAATCTCTACCTGAATCTCTACTTCTACTAATTACTCCTACCTTTCCCCCCTCCCCCCTCCCCCCCTTTACTCTTCATTTTCCTTGCGTAAGCTTTCTTGACTTCTATCTTGTCTCCTCTCTCATACCCTATTCCCTCGTTTCTCTTGTACTCTCAATTTTTTTCTTTTCTTTTTTTTGTTTGTCTTTCTGTTTTACTCTTTCTTCTTCTTCTCTCTCTCCATTCCCTCTGCTTCATTTTTCACTCTCCTTCCTTCTCTCTCTTTCCTTTCCCTTTCTCCTTTTCTTCCTTTTCTACCATTCCTTCTCCCTTCCCCCCTTCCCTATTCGTCATTCTCCTTATCTCCCTTCCCTGTTCCTCATTCTTCTTATCTTCCTATCCCTCCTCCTCCCTTTCTACTTCCCTGCCCTTCCTCCTTCTTAAATCCCTTCCCTACCTTACCATCTCCCTTTCTCCCTCGTTCATCCCTTCTATCTACCTTCCTTACCCTTCCTTCTCCCTATCTCTCTTCCCCACACTTCCTCCTCCCTCTCTCCCTCCCCCTTCTTCCTCCTTTCTCCCTCCCTTATTCCTTCTATCTGCCTTCCCAACCCTTCCTTCTCCCTATCTCTCTTCCCCACACTTCCTCCTCCCTCTCTCCCTCCCCCTTCTTCCTCCTTTCTCCCTCCCTTATTCCTTCTATCTGCCTTCCCAACCCTTCCTTCTCCCTATCTCTCTTCCCCACACTTCCTCCTCCCTCCCTCCCTCCCCCACCCCCCCCTTCTCCCTCCCTCCTTTCTCCCCCCCCCCCACCCATTAAACTTCTTTCCAAAGGTTAAAGGAATTGCGGGCGTAGGTAGATTAGACAGGAAGGTAGGAGGGAGAGAGAAGGGGAAGGGGAAATGAAGAGGGAATAGGAAAGTTAAGGAAGACAGAAGAGAGGAGAGAGATGCGGAAGGAAGTAAGGTAGGGAGGGGGGGAGTGAGACGATATGGGAGATAGGAAGGAAGAGAGAATAAGACAGAGAGGGAGAGAGGAAGGAGGGGAGAATAAGACAGAGTGGAGAGGAGGAGGGGAAAAAAATAGGGAGAGGGGAAGGAGGAGAGAATAAGACAGAAAGGGAGAGGGGGAGAAGGGGAGAAAAAGACAGAGAGGGAAGGGGAATGAAGGAGAGAATAAGAAATGGACATGGAAAGGAGACAAAGGAGAAGAAAAGAAATGATAATAAGGGAAATACCGAAGCACAAAAGAAATTAGAGGCAATGGGATCCTTTAGAAAAGAAGATCGATAGGGAGATATAAAAAGAAACGGAGAAGTAAGAGAAAGGGAGGAGAGAGAGAGAGAGAGAGAAAGGAAAGGGAATGAGAAGGACATTTCCCAAGGCACCAAGAACCCCAACGGACCTTCCTTTGGGCTTTATTGATATTCTGTCTTACACTGAATGCCGAGAGGCGATCGAAGACTCCAGTTGCGCGCGAAAAGGGGTTTTGGCGATGAGGGTTTGATCGCCTTTTGTTCCCTGGCGAGATTGTGGACCTGATGCGCTCGCTGCTCCTTGTGTTTATGGAGATGAGTGTTTATACTGAGTTTATCTGTTTATCTGTGTATCTCTCTCTCTCTATATATATATATATGCATATGCATAAATATATATAAATATATATATGCGAGTGTGTATGTGTGTGTGTGTGAGGGGAGAGAGAGAGAGAGAGAGATAAGGAAAGAGAGAAAAATAAAGAATGAAAGAGAAATATAGTATGAGAGAGAGAGAGAGAGAAGTAGAGAATGAGAGAGAAATGGAGAAATAGAGACGGAGAGAGACAGGCAGAGACAGAAAGAGATAAATTTGGATAGACATATCTACATAGATAGATAAATATATGCAGATAGATACATAGATGTACTCTATATAGATATATTAACTAACAGAAATATAACATGAAAAGAAACTGAAAGATGCTATTGTGGATTCACGTTATTTTTTTGTTTTGTTTGTTTCTTTCACATGTATTCTTTGTGTAATTTTATAAATGAGAAAATGATTTCAAATTTATGTAATTTAAAATTCAACGAATGAGTTAAAATCCGATATATTTTTTTCCTTTCTTTCTTTCTTTCTTTCTTTTTTCAAATCTGAGCTTTCCTCGCAACTGCAGTTTTGAAAATAAATTAACTGTCTAAAGGTAAAACACCAGATACTTAGATAAAATAAAAGGTAAAGACTAACTAACCGATAATAACAGCTAAACGCGCTAGAATTTTTATTCAAATGTAATACAAAGGTATTCCCAATCGCCCCCAATCTGTACATGGCGCGTATTCATTTCCAAAACGATTGGAAATTAATCGTTCTCCTCTTGTTGCATTCAAAACGTAGGATTGGTTAAAAAGATAAGAGAGGGGGGAGGGGGGGAGGGAGGGAGGGAGAAAGGCGAGAGAGGGAGATGTGGAGAGGGAGGGAAGGAAGGAAGGGGGAGGAGGGGGAGAGAGGGAAGGAAGGCAGGGGAGGCAGGGAGAGAAGGGGAAAGTGAGAAAGATGGAGAGGAAGGGAATAGGAAAGAGAGAGAGAAATGGAGAGGGAGGGAGGGAGAATGAAGAGGAATAGTAAAAGAAAAGGAGGTGAAGGGAAGGAGAGAGAGAGGGCCAGAATGAGAAAGAGAGAGTGTGTGTGTGTGTGTAAGGGAGAATGAGAGAATAAGAGACATGAAAAGAGCAGATAGGTCGGTTCTATACCCCAGTGCTATGAAAACGTTCCCCACACCGAGATAAAATGAATAAATGTTGATATTGTACCGCAATCAATTCCAGTCAAAATGTTTCTTTTATTTGCTAGGGTTTGCAGGCATTAAAACAAAAACAAAAAATATATCTATAAAGGATAAGCTCTTTTTGTCAATGTTTTGGTATTTTTGCGCAATCGGTAAATTGTTATAGATATTATCATTACAATTACCAGTATCTTCATTATTATTATTTTTTTTTTTTTATTCACGTATTTTTATTATTATTTTATCATTATCATATTGCCAGCAATTATGTCGAAATTGTTCATCGTCGAAACTGCTCATTTAATGTCATTAGCGAATGCCATTTTAGGTCGTATGATAGATAATATATATATCGCACAAACTACCCTAAGTATGATCTTTATTTGGATAAGTAATTTGTAAATATCATATCGTATGTTTTTTTTTCTTTTTTTTCTCTTTTATTCCGTTCTTGTACTGGGAATAACCACTGCAAGTTATTAAGGTAATCAAGTTAATAACTAGCCTAATAACAATCGTAGTCATAATAATAATGATGATAATGATAATGATTATTATTATGATTATTTGTTTTTTTCCATTTTTGCATCAAAGTTGCGCTTGCTATATTCAACAGTATGCAAAAAATGCCCGCTCCTACGGAATGGATTTTGAATATAAATGAACCTGATTTTCTCAGCCAGAAATCTGATAAACCTATTTCCAGAAATCTCTTTTAGGCGTCCTTGAAACCTGCATCTTTTCAACGTTGCAGTTTCAGCACCGTAGCTTATAACCATCAGGGTAATATAATGGTATAGAGTCGACAGTGCATTGATGGGGATGTCGTAAAGAGTCTCTCTCTCTCTCTCTCTCTATCTATCTATCTATCTATCTATCTATCTATCTATTTCTCAATCTTTCTCTATTTCTCTCTCTCTCTCACTCTCTTTCCCTCTCTCTCTCTCTCTCTCTCTCTCTCTCTCTCTCTCTCTCTCTCTCTCTCTCTCTCTCTCTCTCTCTCTCTCTCTCTCTCTCTCTCTCTTTTCATCTCTATTGTTTA